CACACCCTCAACATGATCGACGTCGCCTGTCACTTCTGGTGACGTGCTGGCGGCGTGCACCAACCTCCACCTACGGCTCCCGGAGCCCGGCGAGGCTACCCCGCCGCCAAGATAAATAGACTTGGCAACCCTAGTGCGATTTGGCTGCTGCATAAATTAGTTTGCTCTGGAGCCCTCCTTCCTGAGCTATGTGTGAGCCGGAGGCTAAAAAACTCTGAGCTAGCTCACACTAACTCAGCGGGAACACTGCAGGCAGCCCTAGCCCTGGCAAACAGGCAGGCCTTGCGGTACCTCCGGAAGATCTCCAAGAAAGGGGGCTCCCCAAACCTCTTCAGGGAGCCCGTTCCACAGAGCTGGAGCCATGACGGAAAAGGCCCGGGCTCTGGTTGATGGCAGACAGGCCACCCTAAGTGGTGGACAACTCACGGATGGCTGCCTGGTGGTGGAGCTGAACCTGAGCTCTTGTGCAGGCACGTGGCCGCTGGACACAAGGGGACGTCGTTTGCTTGCTGGAACAGCTCACCTGTAATTCCGTTCCAAATTGGGAACTTGGCCTCTAAAGGAGGAAATGTTCCTTCTGACCCACGTAATTGCATTTTTCCTGCAGGGACATTTTTCGGAAGTGATGCCATACTCTTGTTAAGGGATTGGGATTGCGAGAGAGCATCAGGAAAGAAAGCTATCTTGTCCCTCCTTCAGATTTTTTTTGTGTGTGTGTGTGTGCATTACGATGATTTCCTCTTGCTTAAAATATGCTCCAGATGTTACAGGGGTGTGCTGCCCCCCCGCTAAAAAAAGAAAGATAACGGACCGTCTGTCTGTTCTGCTGCCGAATGTTAGAGCAGCCGAGAGGGAAACCGAAGCCTCTTTGTTGCTTCAAGGCAGTATTCACACACGCTAGGGCAGACGGTTGGAACGATGGGGTGAAGGGGCAGGCAGAGGTCCTCAGTGTACTTTCAGCATGTTGGGAAGGGACCATAAGACGCTGGAAGGCTCGTGGGAAATGGAGATCTTTCAGTTCCCCAGCACTGAAAGTCACATAAGAGGGTAGACAGGTGTAGTGGTTAGGGTACCAGACTGAGATCGGGTATAAGCCAGATTCAAGAACCCTGTCAGGAACTCTACCTAGCAAGAACAAAATGGTGGACAGTCAAATGTGGCAGTTTGCTTCAAGGCCCTCTCCTCCCCCTCAAATGGGCAGGACAAAATTGGAACGGCAAATAAATACGTAGGCCTGGTTGTTTTCTGTGAATCCCTGCACAAATTGTGGGGTGTGGGTCTCATGAAATGTCTCAGTGGCCTGCTTCATTACGCTTCTGCTGAAAGGGCAGGATATTTTCCACCCCCTCTGGGCTGTGGGCACCCCTAGTGAGGAAGCTCACTGGGTTATCTCATGTGAGTGGCTTAACTTTTCTTACCTCACAAGGCTGCCATAAGGGCAACTTACCTTAAGGACTGCCGTCTCCCATATGAATTGTTCACTCTGGTCATGTTCAGAGGCCCTTACCATCTTAGGCTAGAAGAGTGGCAGTCTGAGAGGGATGGATTCAGGTGGGTAGCCATGTTGGTCTGAAGCAATCGAACAAAGGTTGAGTCCGGCGGCATCTTTAAGACCAACAAGTTTAATTCTGGGTATAAGCTTTGTATCTGAAGGAGTGTGCAGCTGGACTCAGACTTTAGTCTGAAGAAGAGCCCTCTCTGTAATGGCACCAAAACTTTATAACTTCTTCCTCAGGGAAATTTCATCTGCCACCTCCTGTTCTTGTCTTCCGGTGACGACTTTTCTTTTCTTTTTTGCTTGGCATACCCCTCAATAATTGTTATTAGTCTTCCTATGATATTGGTTGTTATGTGTTTTTATTGAATTATTTTACTACTTTAAATGTTGCTGTTTGTTCAGACGTTTTAATGCTTTTATGTTCGCCACCTTCGGGACCCTGAAAGGCAGCATAAGAATGGTTTAAATGAAGTGGGGAGCAGACTTTTCCATCTAGAAGCAGCTTGGGAGAACTCTAAGTATCAGGTTCAGGGTGGCGTAGTAGTTCGTTTGGGGGGGACAAGATCTGGGAGACCCAAGATTGAATCTCCACTTGGCTAGAGAAGCTCGCTGAGTGACCTTGGGCCTGTCACTTTTTTCCAGCCTAACTTACCAGTGTGGTATACTGGTGTTTAAGTGCCAGTGTGTTGTACTGGTTAAGAGCGGTGGACTCTCATTCTGGAGACCCAGGTTTGCTTCCCCGGTCCCCTTCCACATGAAGCCAGCTGGGTGACCTTGGGCCAGGCCCAGTTCTCTCAGAACTCTCTCAGCCCTACGTACCTCACAAGGTATCTGCGTTGGGGAGAGGAAGAGAAGGTGATTGTAAGCCATTTTGAAACTCCTTACGGTAGAGAAAAGCGGGGTGTAAAAACCAACTCTTCTTCTGCATGGTGAGAAGTGGTCAGTGCTGGACTGGCCGTGTTGGGTTGTATCACTTCAGAAGGCGGGTGGTAGACTGTCTGTTTAAATACTGCCCATAGAAAAAAGTCTCTGCAGGTAGAAGAAGAAGAACAAGAAGAGACTGGATTTATACCCCACCCTTGGAGTCTCAGGGCGGCTTACAAACTCCTTTCCCTCCCCCTCCCCACAACAGACACCCTGTGAGGTGGGTGGGGCTGAGAGAACTCTGACACAAATGGCTCTTTTTCAAGGACAGCTGTGCCAGAGCTTGTGACTGACCCAAGGTCACATCAGCAGGTGCAAGTGGAGGAGTGGGGAATCAAACCCGGTTCTCCCAGATTAGAGTCCATGCACTTAATCACTAGATTATGTGGGTTGGGACCCTTTTTCCTGATGGAATACTTTTCCCTGTAAGTATTAATGCTTTTTTTGGAGAAATACAGAGTGCTCTAGCATGCACTCTCCAACCTGCAGTCTTGGCTATAGAGTTCCCAACCTCCAGGTAGGGCCTGGATACCTCCCAGAGTTACAGCTCATCTCCAGACAACAGCGATCAGTTCTCCTGGAGAAAATGGATGCTTTGGAGGGTGGACTCTGTGGCACTGTACCCCATTATAGCCCCTCCTCTCCCAAGGCTTCACATCCAAATCACCAGGAATTTCCCATCCCAGAGTTGGCAACCCGGCTTGGTTATGCATTGCATGTTTCCGTCTCTGAAAGGGTTGCATGCCTGCTGCAGATTTCATATGAGTGCGGTGAGCAGAGCTTCTGCTAACACGATTGGGATGTCTTTTGAAACTAGATTTGGCAGCGTAGCTTGTGGGTGGTGCAGACATGTGCTTGGACATTGGAAACATTAGATGCACGCAGAACCCTGATAGCGCAGCATTGCCAGGCAGGGGCGTGATCCTTGCAACTCGGCTTTTAAGCACACAGCCGGCCAGCTAAGTTCTCCGTGTTCTTCCATGGAATCCCAGCTAGCCGCTGCTCTCTAAGCATAGTTCCAACACATGCCCTCTCAGGACAGGATATCCCTTCCTCCCCCAAAAGTATGTCTCTGCAGAACTTTTATTTTTCAAAGTTCTCTGAACAGCGGAGGAGGAGGGAGAGACGATGCGGTGTACTGGTTAGGGAGCTGGACCTGGAAGGCAGGTTCAAATCCCCGTGAAATTTACAGGGAGATTTTGGAGCAGTCGCACTCTCTCAGCCTAACCTCCCTCACAGGGTTGTTGTGACAATAAAACAGGAGGCTATAGATAGACTAACTAGTGAGCTGGATAAATAGATGGATGGGTCATGTCTTGGACACAGAGGCTGTGCTTGGCATGCAGAAGAAGGGAAGAGAGAGAAGAGATTGGATTTATACCCTGCCCTTCACTTGGAGTCTCAGAGGGGCTTACAGTCTCCTTTCCCTCCCCCTCCCCACAACAGACACCCTGTGAGGTAGGTGGGGCTGAGAGAGCTCTTTCAAGAACTGCTCCTGAGAGAACATCTCTGAGAGAACTTGTCACTGACCCAAGGTCACACCAGCAGCTGAAAGTGAAGGAGTGGGGAAATCAAACCCGGTTCTCCCAGATTAGAGTCTGCGCTCCCAACCACTACAGTGAACTGGCTCTCCAGATTCAATCCTGGGCATTTCCATGAAAGGATCCTACATAGTAGTTATCGGGAAAGCTGTTTGCCTGCCTGAAGTTCTTAGAAAGCTGCTGCCAGACTGGGTAGACAACCTTATCTTGAGTTGAACCAGTGCCAGGCAGAAATGTGTGAGAATATAATCCAGTTTACACTTTCCAGGGACCGTTGGGTGCAAAAGAACCAGAAGATCTGTCTTTCTGGTGTATTTCCCTTCCACCAGAGAGCTCAAAGTGGCACACATAGTTCTTCTGTCTCTGCTCTTGTTATCTTTACAACAGCCTTGTGAGGTAGGTTAGACTGAGGGAGAGTGTTTGGACCAAAGGTCACCCAGCGAGCTTCCGTAGCTGGGCGGGGGTTTTGAACCTGGGTCCCCTAGGGATTACTCATATACTTTAAACACTCCCCAACCTTGGCTCACCATGCTTTGTTCTTAGTGTTATAGAACAAAGTTTGAGTCCAGTGGCACCTTTAAGACCAACAAAGTTTAATTCTGGGTATAAACTTTCATGTGCATGGCATGCTCACAAAAGCTTATACCCAGAATTAAACTTTGTTGGTCTTAAAGGTGCCACTGGACACAAACTTTGCTCTGTGGCTTCAGGCCAACACGGCTACCCATTCTTACTGTCCTGTTAGACTATTTGTGTTTGGCTCATTTTCTCTTTGGTATGGGTTGGCTCGTGATGAGATTTCTCTGCTACAAAATTTGAGGCTGTGGGCCTCACAGAAAATGCCACAGAACAATCTCGTTTCCCATCCAGGAGAGCCAGAAAACACTAGAAAAGACTTGCTCAATTAAATGTCACTCACCAGCCCTATACGGTGGCTCGCGAGGGATTCTTTGCCTGACAGATGGGGACTTCAGCTTGGGTTCGGTGGACCACAAGTTTCCAGAGGCCTGATTCTAATCCTTGCTGTTTTTGTTCAGCTAGGATTGTGCCTCAGCAGAGCTTCGGCATCTGTCCTCAACCTCAACTGCAGTCTGGTCCTTTTGCCCATGTGCCGGATTCTCCTGGCTTTCCTCCGAGGATCTCAGAAGGTAAGAGAGAAGAACCGGAATGTGGCGAGCGAACAGAGAGTGAACGAATGACTATGGATGGTGGATTCCCACATGGTCTTTCAGCGCATGATGGGGCACATGCCACTGTTTGGCGGTTATTAACACCTTTTTGTTTCAATGAATTAATTTGTTGTTGTTGTAGCCCTCTGTTGCTCCAGGCCACAGTGATAATCACTTAATGAGAAGGAAGTTTTTGACTTCGGTTGTGTGTCAGTCTAGGAAGAAGTGTTTTTACGCATGATGGGGCACATGCCACTGTTTGGCAGTTATTAACACCTTTTTATTTCAAGGAATTAATTTGTTGTTGTTGTTGTAGCCCTCTGTAGCTCCAGGCCGCAGTGATAATCACTTAATGAGAAGGAAGTTTTTGACTTTGGTTGTGTGTCAGTCTAGGAAGAAGTGTTTTCATGACACTCGCCTGAGTCTTTGGTATAATGGATCCTACCTGGTGCTGGGCCAAATAGCCCCCAATCTATCTCCTTTCCCCTCTGTATATACGAACCCCAACCGTGTGACACAGGTTTGTCTTTGAAGAGGGAAAAAAAAATGTCGGGCTTGAGGTCACTGGTTGGTGGCGAAGTGGGAATAGGAACCGAGGTCTCCCTGGGTCATGGCTAACCTTCTGTTCATTATACCATGTTGGCTCTTGCTATACCCTGAAAAATCACATGGCGGTGTGGTTGGGCCCTGTTGGCTACCAGCTGTGCATGCACCACACACCCAGATGATCAGCAGCCACCCAAAGTAGTAGGAGAGCCGATGTAGTGTAATGAAGAGAAGAAGAGATTGGATTTATAGCCCGCCCTTCACTACCCAAGGGAGTCTCAGAGCGGCTTACAAACTCCTTTCCCTTCCCCTCCCCACAATAGACACCCTGTGAGGTGGGTGGGGCTGAGAGAGCTCTTGACAGAAACTGCTCTTTCAGGAACAGCTGTGCCAGAGCTTGTGACTGACCCAAGGTCATCCAGCCAGGTGCAAGTGGAGGAGTGGGGAATCAAACCCGGTTCTCCCAGATTAGAGTCCGCGCTCCTAACCACTACACCAAACTGGCTAATGGGTAGAATGTCGGGCTTGGACTCCCACTCTACATGTTTGGTGTAGTGGTTAAGAGCACAGACTTTAATCTGGGAGAACCGGGTTTGATTCCCCACTCCTCCACATGCAGCTGCTGGTGTGACTTTGGGTCAGTCACAAATTCTCTCAGAGCTGTTCTCTCAGGACCCGTTTTCGAAAGAGCTCTCTCCGCCCCACCTACCTTACAGGGTGTCTGTTGTGAGGAGAGGAAGGGAAAGGAGATTGTCTGCTGCTCTGAGACACATAAGGCCTCCTGGGTGACCTTGGGCCAGTCCGAGTTCATTCAGAGCTCTCTCAGCCCCACCTACCTCACAGGGTGTCTGTTGTAGGGAGAAGAAAGGAAAGGAGATTGTAAGCCACTCGGAGACTCCAGAGTGAAGGGCCAGGGTATAAACCCAATCTCTTCTCTTAGCCAAGGAGGCCCCAGCATGGTGCCCTTTGACATCTTTCCTGGTGCTTGCCACATGTTTTTAGAAAGCAGGTAGGGCTCTGATTGGCCACTGGAAATCTGATTGGTTCTGCAGATTAAAATAACATGGTGTCAGTGGCAACTGGAACCACAGTGTTGGTTTTATTCTCTCTCTCACTCTGCCTTCCCAGTATATAATTTTAAATTACCCCTCTTCTTCCCTGCAGTTGGGCTTCCCACGTGTGTGTTGTTTGTGCAACACTCTGCCTTTTGTGGTGGCCATTTTTGTGGCTGGCTCTGCCTCCTGCAAGCAGCCATTTTGTACTTGTGACCGGCGCCATATCCAAATTCCAACAGCAACTGCCCACAGGCTCAAAAAGGCTGGTTACCCCTGCCTTAGCCTGACCTCAGAGGGCACTTTGAGGATAAAACAGAGACGGGAGAACCACATTTGCCACCCAGAACTTCTTGGAGGATGGGTGTATGTGTAAAAATGGGCTAGATAAATAGACAGGACTGAGTGTATGTGTAAAAATGGGCTAGATAAATAGGACTGAGAATTAGTTTATAAAAAAGACTCCATTCTCTTTTCTATCTTCCCCGCTGCTCTGGTTACCAGCAACTTGCTGCTGCGGCTCCCCACTATCAAAGCCCAGAGTCTCTGAAATGTTTGTGCGGTCCAAACTGTCTTCCTTGCCTTCCCACCATCCATTTTTCCTTTCCAGTTGACCAGAGGCTACCGACACTCACAGCCTTTCCCCTTGGCTTCCAGGTGCTAAATTGCAAATCCCACCGTTTCCACTCCCTGAAACCTGCACTGCTCATTTCAATGAAATGGGGAGAGGGAAGGAGGGAAGGAGAGAGAATGGGATGATGACAGGCTGACGTTGAGGCCTGTAGCAGTGCTTTTGGAGAGCCAGTGTGGTGTAGTGGTCAAGAGTGGCAGACTCTAAACAGGAGAAGTGGGTTTGGTTCCCCACTCCTCCACATGGACCCTGCTGGGTGACCTTGGGCCAGTCCCAGTTCTCTCAGAGCATTCTCAGCCCCATCTACCTTACCTTGTGGGGAGGGGAAGGGAAGATGATTGTAAGCCACTTTGAGACATATAAGGCCTGCTGGGTGACCTTGGGCTAGTCACAGTTTATTTCTCAGAACTCTCTCAGCCCCACCTGCCTCACAAAAGGTGCCTGTTGGGGGGAGAGGAAGGGAAGGTGATTGTAAGCTGCTTTGAGACTCCTTAGGGCAGTGAATAGTAGGGTATAGAAGAAGAGAAGAAGAGATTGGATTTATGTCCCACCCTTCACTACCCAAAGGTGTCTCAGAGCGGTTTACAAACTCCTTTCCCTTCCCCTTCCCACAACAGACATCCTGTGAGGTAGACGGGGCTGAGAGAGCTCTGACAGAAACTGCTCTTTTTCAAGAACAGCTCTTATCAGAGCTACGGCTTGCCCAAGGTCATCCAGCCAGGTGCAAGTGGAGGAGTGGGGAATCAAACCCGGTTCTCCCAGATTAGAGTCCGCGCACTTAACCACTACACCAAACTGGCTCCACCAACTCCTCCTCCTCCTCCTCCTCAGCAGCCTTTTGGGAAATCGTTGAGGATATTTTGTTGGAGGGGGGGGGAGGTAGAGACTGGGGAGGGTGGGGTTTGTGGGAGGGGTGGGTCCTCAGCAGGGAATCATGCTCTACAGTCCACCTTCCAAAGCAGCCATTCGCTCCAGGGGAACAGATCCCTGTTATCTGGAGACGAGTTATAGTTCTGGGAGGTATCCAGCCACCATCGGGAGTTTGGCAACTCTAGTGCTATGGCACAGAGCCATGGCAGGCAGAGAGCCAATTTACCCATGCATATGGAATCATCTGGAGCTGCGGAGGCTCAAATGGTTAAGAGTGCGCTCCACTTCTCAGATGTTGGGGTGTGATCGTGCCCGGATAATCCGCTCACCATCCGTGCCTCTCCCGCGGCAACTTTGCCGTGTGACCGGGGCCTTTAAAGACTAACAAAAATTTGTGGCAGGGTATGAGCTTTCTTGAGCCACTGCTCACTTCTTCACAAAAGCTCCGCCCCTTTCCACAAATTTTGCTAGTCTTTAAGGTGCTCCTGGACTCTTGTTCTTTTCTGCTGCTACGGACAGACGTAACACAGCTACACATTGATGTTTTAGATGAGAATTTAGTTTAATTTGTACTCTCCCCATCCCTTCCCCAGGTGGCCAGCCGGAAAACGAGGAGGCTCTTGGATAAAAGCAAAACTTTCCACGTAACCTGCGGCGTTACAATCTGCCTCTTTTCAGGTATGTTCCTCTGGAGCGGGAAAACACTGACTCTTGCTGCGAAGCACATTGAACATTACAAGTGGGCTGTGGCTTTTCTCCAGCAGTACATGAGGGGGTAGTCTTGTTCCACAGTTCCTCCTGTAAACCTGTGGGCGTTCTCTCCGATTTTTCTAATCTCTGGGAGGAGACCTGTGTTCCGGTACAGGTTTTGTAGCGTTGTCTTCCCTGCCTCATCAAACCACGCCGAATGCTCGCCGGCACCGCCGATATCAGATCGAGCGCAGCCAATTTAAACGCAGAGGCACGGATGCCGGTTCGGCACAGATTGTTCTACATGGCTGACGCCTGTCAGATATCGAGGGGATCTAGACTAATGAGTCTCTGTCTGTTTACTTGTTGGCCTCAGTTTAAAAGGCACAGAAGTAGCCTGGCTGTGAAGGCATAATTCATACAAGATGTTCAAGGTGTGCTTAAATAGGTTTACAGGGCATGCTGACCCATTCGGTCTTTAACCGTAACACACCAGTGACTGATAGGTGTGCTGCTAGGAATAAGAACATTAAGGGTAGCCAGGATGGGTAGCTGTGTTAGTCTGTCGGTAGCAGCAGAAAAGAGCAAGAGTCCAGTAGCACCTTTGTTGTAGTTCAGTCGCACAGTCGAGTCCGACTCTTCACGACCCCATGGACCAGATCACG